TCCTTCATTGCGGCGCTGTGACGTATGCGGCCGACAAATTCGACCTTCGGAGGACCTGTCCTAACATTTTGGACACAGCCAATAATGAATGATAAAACAAAAACTGGTTTATTAAATAAAAAAGAAAAAGGCTGACGTGGCAGCATAGAACTAACAAAAAATAACGAGGGTAAGAACAAGGCTTGAGGCTTGATAAAAGCAATGATCCAACGGCCGTAATGGAGACATGACACTGGTTAAATACAACTGAGGATGATTGGGAGTGGAAGCACCTGGGTGAATACAGACCATGGACAGGTGAGTGTGGCAGGCTGGAAAAACACTAAGAAGCTACTGAGGATTACATGACACAGGAAATGGAGAAAACTAACAGGAAATGAGAAAAGGCACAAGATGAAAAAACAATAAAACAGAAGAATTCGAACAAAATTAACCGTAAAAAGCAAGAATCATGGTATATGGACTTAAATCTAATCTAAATGTCTCTTGTGGTTACTTGCATGTTTTATTTAATCTTGACATAATTGCTGGTGGGCCAAATCAAATGGCTTGGTGGGCCAGTTTTGTCCCATGGGCCCCATTTTGGGCACCTGTGCTTTGAACTCTAGAAATCCCAACAAATCAAAAGTTTTTGAAACATTTAAAACCAACACATCTGGCACCAACAACCACAACACATTCAAAGTCATTTAAATCCCCTTTCTTCCCAGTTCTGAAGCCCAGTTTGAACTTCTTCATCGTCTTCACCAAGTCTACAAGGTATTGCTGCCACGTGATCGGATGATTAGACATTTGTGCTAACGAGTAACTGAACAAGTCCACCTAATAAATATGGATGCCAGCATGTACTTTATTTACAGCCACAGTTTTGGCATTAACCAATAACAGAAAAATGGTGCTGTTGCTTGCCTGTAACCCTAATGTAGCCCCCAGAACACCTGCTAACCCCCATTTAAACACAAAGTTTCCTCTCATCGATCAAAAGCATGAAAGTGGTACTGGAGAGATTACAGCAGACTTCAACTTTAACCTGAAGATACTCTCTGCATTTGATTGTGTGTGTGCATGTGTGCTTGTGTGTTCCTTTAAGAATGTGCCGAGCCCAAAAGAATTCACAGTGGGTCACAGATCTGCTCAACACTTACTTCTCACAAACTCAATTTCCCGTTGGAGCATCAACAGCTAGGCGCTTTTAACCTCTGCAAACATAGTGTGAAGGAGGATTCATGCAAAATTTACAGGAGGATGAAAGAGTCTTTATGTCTGCTTGCATAGTCTATGTGTCTGCATGTATTATTAATTGACAGAAATGCGTAAGGTAGATATACAGGCACATTTATTTAAAAACATAGTAAAGGTTATGTTACAGTTGTCAGACAGTTAACGTGCTGCTGCACAGAAAGACGACTTTGCAAAAGACTGTGAAGATTTTTTTTCTACGAGTTTGTGTTCCTGTGTGTGTGCGGTTGCATGGGTGTGTTGGCCGTACAAGAGTGTTCCCAGTGAGAGAGGGAAGAGGTATCCACCACTCACTGCCTGGGGCCTTTTGGCAAAGAGACTAAACAAGACCTTCCCAATGGGACACGCATAAACAGCCTGCAGCTGCAAATGACCTACTACCCACCTCAGACAAATACACACACAACTGATGTGGATGAACACATAAAGACAAAGCCTTTTTGATTGTATAATTTGATAAGTTCAAGAAAACAGAATCTATTATCACACATGAGCTAATAAAGTATACTTTACAGTTTGATAAACTTTCACTTTTCTTTGTTTCATTCTATTGTTCTTCAATCTTCTCATTGCCTAAGAAACACAAAAACATGGCTGTGTCCTAATAATATACATTGTCATCCTGCTCAAGTCATGGATTTTTGTATTCTAAACATGTTATGTTTTTGGATCTGTTATTTAACACTGTAAATTTAAAGCAACCTATACAAACTTTCAACTTTATCACTGCAGCATACAGTATATTAATAACAAACATTTCTTATTTTGACAAGCTGTAATGGTTACTATATTATGCATTCTCTGTGTTAACAAAGGCTGAGATTCACTTATTAAAATAATGTCCTTTTTTTGGTAAATCCCAGCCTAAATTGGTAAAATCTATGCTTTCTGAAACTTCTGTCTGTAGATGTATGGAAGAGCATAACTGCCACTGTGGTAGTGATACGGCCACCATACAAAGCAAAGCTGTGTATTAAGAATAGTGTTTAACTTAATTTCATCTACTGTTAACTGTCTTTTCATTCAACAGCATATTTAGAAAAAAAAGACCTATGGCCTGAGGATAAACACATCGTTTTGATGTAATTCTCTTACTAACAAATACAGGCCACTTGCCAAAAGAAACTGAATGAGACCACAATCACAATATTGTTACAATGTGTGCACACACAACACAGATAGGAGATGACGTACGATTAACCTGGAGCACATAATCAGCTGAATTATCATGGAGCATACCGCACTAACCTACAACATGAACAAATGTATATTCTGCAAAAGACACTTAATATGCTTTTATTAATTTTTTTCAAGAAGGAGATCACTCAATTGTTCATATGAACAAAAGGGGAGGGGGAGTGTGGGGGGGCAGATAAATCGGTCTCTGGATATCTTGCTTGGACGTCAGTTGATAAAATTTTGCATACACCAGCAGCAGTGCTGTTAGGACAGGGAATACCAACACAAAATAATGTTTTTTTTCTCCCTCTGATCAATTTTTAATTTGGCCCATGCAGCCAAGCCCTTGGCGGCTTGGCCCCAGTAATTATGGTGGGTTATTGACAGCTGCCTTCCCGCGGGAGACTATTTAAAAGAGGTTTAACCCGAGAGCAAGTCCAGACCCCACACCCGCCTTTGAAGGTGTCAAGTGCATTGATCTGAGCTGCAGGATGCGCTGGGACTTTCCTTCCTTGAGGTGTGAGTGTGTACGCTTCTATGTGTTGCTTGCAGGATTACTATTACAAGGCCATGGCAAGGCAGAACATCTTACGTGCTTTAAACAAACGCACACACCAACTGTCCTCTGGCTAAACCGGCTCGCTGGTAGAATGATACCTGTTTGGTTTCTGCAACCACCTGATGCCCCGAGAGTGCACTCTAGTAGTCCAAACACACACTAACAAAAGTACAAACAGGTTAACTTGGACTTCAAGATGATTATAATGGATTAATGAAACATGCAGTGAATGAGTGATGATTTGAGAGATAAAGAACAGAGATTTTCTCATTGCATAAAGGCCATGACACTACACAAACAAATGACAGAGAGTGCAGCTGATGTCAGAAGAAGACATCAACCAGCCACAAAAGAAAAAGAAAGAAAAAGAATGAGGAGGGGGCTGACAGAAATTAGTGGAGGATTTCTGTGTTTGAGTTTGCCTGCCTCACTGCCCCCTTTCAGTCTCCTATTGAAATTCTGGGCAGACAGAAACCCCAAGGCTTTTGACACACTTCTGAAAACACCACACACCCCTTTTCTTTCCAATGAGTCTCCAGTGTCAAGCCTGACTCACTATCAAGAGAGTTATGGAGAGAGCTTGAGTGAGATGGAAAGAAATGTAGTGACAGCCACTATAGATCAGTTTTTTTTTTGTAGTAACTTTCAAATTAAGTTATCTGTGAAGACAGAACATGATTGTGGTTTGTGTGAAGCTGCTGGTGCATCTGTATTAAAGTGGATTTGAAAAAATTATTTTGTTAAGTCTGTTAAAATCTACTGAAAAAGTCTTAAACTATTTTTTTTTCACCTTTGAAGACGGTTGGTGATTGAAAAAGACCACCAACTATTTCCGCAATAATATTTTTTCTCGAAGTGTGTCACATTTTAAGAAAAAAAAGTTTTCCAACAGCTGCTGGAAACTATTGCCGAAACACACAAAGTGAAAAAAGTTACAGCCAAAAAGTTTAAAAAGTAACGTCAAGTACTAGGATAAAACTATAGTGTATCATGTGGCATATAAGAGCAAAGTCCATATAGCAGTATTCACGAAAAGTCCTTCAATGTGAACACAAACCAACTCTTATTGGCCACATTAACAATGGCTCTAACTAACGAACCCACCTTTTATTACTCAACACACCTTCCTTCCTCAATTATTCTAACTGTAACCTCACTATCTACAGCCCCCCTCCCTCCCCCTACTCTCCCATCCCCTCTAAAGCCCCATGGCATGCACCCTCCACCTCCACCACCTCAGTCTCAGGATGCAGAGCATTGACAGGGCCAGAAGGTAATGATACAGCTGCCATGATGCAACAAGCAGACCTGTCGACTGTCAGGAATTGAAATCATGAAGGAATAAGCTGTCATTAAGAGGCCCTCTCCCAGTAGTGGAGCTGTCAGACGGCTGCCTTCTGCCTACTCTCTCCCTCAATACTCCCGTCTCTCCTCTGCCAGTCCCACCTTATTTGCAGTCACTCCCTCATCCTCCTCTCATTTCTCTCTTCCTGAATCAATCCTTTCTGTACTGCTCTCCTTCTTTCCTCTTCTGTCCTATTCCAACCAATCATAACCCCCCCCCACTCTCTCTCTCTCTCTCTCTCTCTCTCTCTCTCTCTCTCTCTCTCTCTCT